ATGAACTCTTATAAATCTTACTAATCTGATTGGAAAAAATTGTACTCTGTTATTTTTGTTTCTTTTTTAAGAACATTTTTAAAAAGCATTTTAAATTTACCTTGGTTGGTGTGGCAGATTTCTCCTGACCTGCCCGCTGCTCCCCTCAGCAGTGTACTTCGTTATTCGGCCTGTTCTGCTCCTCACTCTGTCTCTGGTGAATCCTCTCACCACCTGCACCTCTGCTCTGTATCCCAGCTCTCTATGCATACATAAATAAATTTAAAAAAATAGTGGTCAGGAAAGGACTGAGTGACATTTGAGCAAATGTGTGCATGGTGATTTATGAAAGATTTAAGAAAGAACATTCCAGGTGGGAGGAATAGCAAATGCTAAGCTGTGAAGAAACTTGTCTGGGATATTTGAGGCTGGCCAGGGTTCCTCTGGGGTTTGATGAGTAGAGGCAGTGAGCAGGCGAGTAGGCTGGGGAGGAGGTGGAGGGCAAGGCGCAGCCAGTGCCTGTGGGGCTTCAGGCCCCTGGGAGCGCTTGAAGGGAAGATGTGGGAGCTTTTTTTTTTTTTCTTTGGGAATAAGAGTTGTATTTTTTTTTTTTTATTAAAAAGTTTATTTTTACATCATTTTTCACATTTTTTTTTTCATCTCAATTGTAATCCCCACGGGTTTCCCATCACCAAATCACCCCTGTGCCACCACCATAGTCCCGTGCATTTCCCTCCCTTCCCCCCCCCCCCCCCCCCCCCCCGCCCCCCCCCCCCCCCCCCCCCCGTTTTTGATCCCATTCCCCACTCCACAGATGTGGGAGCTTTTGAGCAGAAAGTTGAGAGTTGACTGAGGGAACAAAGGCAGACAGAGGTGATTGCCATCATTCAGGTATCATTCAGGCAAGAGATGATGATGTCTTGGACCCAACGGTGGTGGTAGGAAAAGGTCAGATTTGGGATGTATTGGAAGCTGGTACTGATGGGCTGGATTTGTGGCATGTGAGAAAGAGAACAATGAATCCACACAAGAGAACAAAGAATTCTGAAGCTCTTGACTTAAGCTTCAGAAAGCATGGAATGAGGGTTTCCTGCAAGGGCTGGGGGAAGATCTGGTTCTGGGCAGGATGGAAGATTAGGAGTTAGTTATGGACACTTGAAACTTAGATCTAAATCACATATCAGGTGGATGTGTAGGAAGGTTGTCGGGTATGTGAATATGGAACTGGGGGGAGGCCTGACTGGCAGCTTGATTTTGTGAGTTACTGTGCACACACACACACTGTGTGGTGGCCCCAAGTGCCAAGGGGTTGCAGAGATGTGAAGAAGCAGAGCAGTAGCCAGAAGAGTAGGCAAAACCCAGAACTGATGGTGAATTTCTCTCTGGCTCCCCATACAGGTGTGACAACGTGCGTGTATTTAAGCTGGGCCTCTTCTCAGGCCTCTGGTGGACCCTCGCTCTCTTCTGCTGGATCAGTGACCGAGCCTTTTGTGAGCTGTTGTCATCCTTCCACTTTCCCTACCTGCACTGTGTGTGGTAAGTCCCTGGAGGGGGTAGGGGAGTGGCAGAGAGGCAGAGAGAGGCAGATGTCTGTACCTGGGCCAGATGCAGGGACTGAGTGTCCCTCTCCTCACTCAGACTGCCAGATGTCTCAGAGGCCAGAGGGTCGAAAGCATCACCTGCTGCAGGGTGCAGCCTCCGCCAGCACAGGAAACTGAATTGTTTCCGCTTCAAGTCTGTGGTTTCTTACCTCTAGCTCCATTATTAAAGCAAAAAGGAGCTTGCAAACGGAGTCTGTAGCTAGATCTCTAGGGTGGGGAGGGCTTGGGCAGATGTGATATGGGGAAGGGATGGTCCTGAAGACATGAGTGACCTGGACTTTGCAGGTCATCTGGAGACTATCACACCTGTTCGTTTTACAGACACCCAGAGTAGTGACATGAATTGTTCTGGATGACCCACCCAGTAATAGAAAGCCAGGAGTTCAGTAATAGGGAACTGAAACAGCTACACTTTCGAACACTCAGGATAGGCCACGAAGCAGGTGGAGGAATAGCTTGCAGTATCTTATTCTCAGAAAGCTGAGGACGAAATGAGTGGCTTTCTTCCTAGGAATTGCTTCAACTCCAAACCTGGAGTTATTTTTCCCTCTCTGTCCTGTAGGACTTCCGATTGCAAAAGATGGCAGGATGCAAGATAGAGCTGCTTTGGAATATGCCTCATAAATTGAGAGTACCCTGGGTGGAATTCTAGTGTTAAAAAGTTGGAAACATTTTGACAGACCCAGATACAGAAATTTGCTATCTCTCAGGAGGTGCCTCAACTCTGCGAGTATCAGGCATGTTCTGGAGTGGGTCCTGGAAAGCGGGGATGGAAGGAGATACCACATCAGAATAATGGCTGCCATTGTCAGCCTCCCCACGGGTCTCTTCCAAGTGTCTCTGCTTGTCTCTCCTCATAGTGTTTCTTTCCCTTTCTCCTTCCCAGCCCCACCAGGGAGCAAGTTGGGCTGCAGAAGCAAGGGCTTGCTTCTCCTCTTGAGTCTACTTTGAAGAAACAAAAATAGCATCATTCTATAGATGGGGAAAACTGGTCCTTTTAAAATTTAAACCAAATAGTACATCATGGACAATATTTCTTACCAATGTACCTATGTTATCTTCATTTTTTTTTAAAGATTTATTTATTCATACAGAACTGGGGTACAGGCCAGAGATGTGGAGGGTGAGAGGATTCACCAGAGACAGAGTGGGGAGCAGAACAGGAAGATTAATGAAGTACACTGCTGAGGGGAGCAGCGGGCGAGTCAGGAGAGGTCTGCCGCGCCATGTGGATCTCCTCCCGGGCAGGCGGGGATCGAACTCATGCGAAGTGGCTTAAGCTTCTTAGTGCTGTGCTTTAATCTGCTGCGCCACCAGGGAGGGCCCATCTTCATTTTTTTTTAATCTCCAGTGAATGCTTTACTATATGAATGCCTTGACTTATCTCTCTATTAATGGATCTTTCAGTTATTTCTAATGTTTTACTTAGCAAGCAATTGGCAGTGAACAGCTATATTTGCCCACGTGTATGAATATTACTTTAGGTTAAATTGTAATATAGTTTGTCAAATCCAAAGAGATTGTATCAGTTAAGACTTACTAAAGTCTATAGAGCAGTGCCTTTCACTCACACTTTCACATATACTGTATATTATGAACTCTTATAAATCTTACTAATCTGATTGGAAAAAATTGTACTCTGTTATTTTTGTTTCTTTTTTAAGAACATTTTTAAAAAGCATTTTAAAGGCTTTTTTTTTTTTAAGATTTATTTATTTATGCTTACAGAACTGGGGTACAGACCAGAGGTGTGGTGGGTGAGAGGACTCATCACAGACAGAGTGGGGAGCAGAACAGGCAGATCGATGAGTTCACTGCTGAGGGGAGCGTGGGCAAGGCAAGAGAGGTCTGCTGTGCCATGTGGGTCACCTCCCTGGCAGGGATGGAACTCGTGCTGCAGTGGCTTCTGAGAGCTTTGTAATGAACATGGTGCTTTAACTTGCTGCACCACCAGGGAGAGAGTGTTGGGCATTTTTACAAATGTAAATTGGCTATGTTTCCTCTTTTGAAATAGGCCTTTTGCCTTTCTTTGTCTTCTCTGTGGGGTGTTTCTGTTAAGAACAAAATTTTGCCTGGCACCTAGTGCCTGACATGTAGCAGACAGTCATTACTGTATCATGGTGACATGCTATTTATTGTGTAAATTTGCAACATTTTCAGAACTACAGAGAATGAGACACTGGAGCTCTGTGTAGCTGATATCTAGCTTCATTAATTCTCTGCCTGGGCCAGTCATGTTCATGCCACTGTCACTCACTGCCACACCCACACCAATACATTAAGGCCAACCCCAGACATCCTGTGAAAAGATGTTTTTAGGGTTCTTTGCAACACAGGGAACTGAACTCTGTCATATGATGCAAATATTTCCCCCCAGTTTTCCATTTGTCTTGAGTAAATTTATGGCATTTTTGTACAACGCTGGTTTTAAACATCCATGTTTTCACATCAGTCAGTCCTGTCCATTATGGCTTTTTTGTCCTCCCTCTGTGTACACTACAGAGAAGGCCTCTCCCATCGCAGCGAGGCGAGCGGGCGGCCCTCATAACCCTCTGCGCTGTGTGTGGCGGTGAGCACTTCTCTCCCTGTGCCTCAGAATGACTTCTGTCTCTTTCCCCTTAGGAGTTCTAAGCGTTTTAACATTCTAAGAAAGTCCCCTTCTCTGAAGTTTATAAAAATCTTTTCTGATATTTAAAAAATTCTTCATCTTAAATGAACATCAATCATAAATATATAAAAGATAAAAAGATGTAAAGATAAGTATATAAAAGATAAAGATAGAGATCTTCATGCCATATATATATATATATATATATATATATATATTTTGGTCTTGAAGATATAAAGATATTTATATATAAATGTTGGTATACATCACCATATAAACACACACATGTGTGTGCGCACACACACATATTCCTTAGATGATCCTTTGATTGAGAAACATTAGTATTAGAACTTTTTACAGGGTCCTCCCTGGTGGTGCAGTGGGTTGGGACGCAGCACTGCAAGCTGGCAGAGCTGCTTCAGTGCGAGTTCGATCCCTGCCCCAGAGGTGACCCACATGGCGTGGCAGACTTCTCCTGTCTTGCCTGCTGCTCCCCTCAGCAGTGTATTTAGTCGATCTGCCTGCTCTGCTCCCCACTTTGTCTCTGGTGATGCCTCTCACTACCTCAGCACTCTGGCTTGTACCCCAGTTCTGTATGAGTAAATATAAATCTTTTTTAAAAAAAGAACTTTTTACAGGCACAGTACAGATAGAGAGTTCCCCTACTAAACCATAGAAGTAATTTCATCATATGATGAAAGTGATCCCTAATGTGGAAGCCGTGGCTAAGATGAGCAGGCTCTGGGTCATTTCCCAGCTCTCCTGTGAACCAGAACTCAGCTCTTGGTAGACCCTTAAAGGCATTTGTGCCTTTGTTCCTGGATGAAGCTGGAATGGTTCTGAGGCTTCTAAAACAGGGCCTGTTGCTCCAGATTTCTCGTTTTCCTGCTGTTCTTGATTGCTGGTCAGCTTCACCCTTTCTAATTAGACCCTGGCTGGGTCTCCGTCAGACATCAAGGTAGGTCAGTGCCGCTGAGGGAGGCCAACCCCCGGCTGTCCGCCTGTGCCAGGTCTCACCTCTGGTTCCTTTGCAGGCACATCCTCATCTGCCTGGCCTCCTACCTGGGCTGCGTGTGCTTTGCCTACTTTGATGCTGCCTCTGAGATCCCCGAGCAAGGCCCCGTCATCAAGTTCTGGCCCAGTGAGAAATGGGCCTTCATCGGGGTCCCCTACGTGTCCCTCCTGTGCGCCAACAAGAAATCACCAGTGAAGATCACGTGATGGCAGGGCGGAGCTGGTTCTCTGCTTCTTTTCCCTCCTGCACTGGGCTTTCTTTGCTAGCAGCCACAGTTGGGAGGTTGCAGAGTTGGGGGGTGGGGTTGGGGTCTGTCTTTTAAAAATGCTGTTCCCTTGGGCTCTAATTAGTGTATGTGTGGACTGCCAGGACTCTGCTGTGTGTGAGAGCTGAGGTTCCTTCCCTTTCCCAGAAACTGGATGTGCAAGGCTGAGGGGTACTGGTGTTTCTCGGTGTCACTCCCAGAAGCAGTAGCTTGTTGGGTGTCTCCTTTGGGACGATACAGGACACAGTCCCATGGGGAATTCTGTGGTGCATAATGCCTCACTTCCTGGGGAGTTTGTCTGCTCCAGATCCTACCATTTCCACTCACTCTTGGAGGGGGACCCCTGTGGACAGATACTACATCAGATAAGACCCTCGGAAGGACTGTCTGATGGTAGAGGCCTGTTATTTTGCTTTGGATGAAACTCTCCTAAAACAAAAGCAAGCAAATGAAGACACCCCCACCCCACCCCGGGCTTGTGGCTGAGGAGGAGGCTCTCCACTGCCTGGTCTTGGCCCCTTCGGTCTCACCTGTCTTACGTGCGTCTGTGAAGCAGTTCCCTGCTACCTCTGCCCAGAGATGGAGACTTGCTTCCAGGTGAGGGCGAGACCAGTGAGAAAAGCCTCTATGGCAGACACACTCCACTTAAGCCATTCATGAACATGAGCCCAGCTTTTAAATGTCACCTGCCCACCAGCCCAGCCCAGCAGCTATAGACACACAGAGAAAAACCTCTATGCTGGGAGCGCCCCATCCAGAACCCCACTCTACTGCTGGGGCTCTGTGAGTTTGCCAAGGGGCGTGTTCCATGTGTGCTGTGGATCTGGGCTCAAAATTTGGAGCAAGCATGAAGTTTTTCCTCATTGAAAAGCCTCCTCATACTCTCTGCTCCTGGAAATCATCCTCAAGAATCTCCCCTCTTCTTTCTCTGGAATTTACCCTGGGAGGGCCACCTCACAGTATGAGGGGCCTCCTGTGATTTCTGTGAGCATTGAACTACTGGCTTTTCTCAAGTGCTGGCCATCACCACTCCAGCTGTGACACTGGTTATAACTAATCTCCCCTTTGCTGGGCTGAATGGAAGACTCTAAATGGTCTTTAAGGCGTGAGGGGGGAGCTGATGAACTCAGGGATACTCATCGTAACTCAGGCATCTCCTGCTTAGCGACACCTCCTGGTGGGAGTGGGCAGGACAGATGGTTCCTCTGGAGCTGACAGGGGTCCTGCGTCCCTAAGAGCTGGGGACAGCAGCTCTTGGCCTGCCCAAGAGCTCTTACTCTGTTAAGTCTTGTTCCAGATCCAAGGTGAAAAGTCCAATAAGTAACTGCATTTAGAGGTTAAACATTTATGACTTTATTCTTCTGTGGTGTTAAAATTATTTAGTAGCAGATACTGCTTGCAGTAAGAAATTCTTATGGGACCCTAATCTTTGCATTTTTTTTTTAATTATTAGTTTGCATTTGTTTTCAGGTTTACTTAGAGAACACTTCCCTAATAATAGATCAGACAGTGAAAATGCAAATTAACAAATTGGTGGTTTCCAATGATTTTGAATGAATATACTTGTTGCTATCCTATAGTTTAAAATACTTTTAAGAATATTTCATTTAGGTATTTGTGATCCCTCTAATGTACCCCTTTGAGACTTTGGTGGTTCATGCAACAACATTTTAAAATTGCTGTTAATTCTTCTGGGTGTCAAGTCTAGAATATTTGAAAGGGGGATGTCAGACTGTCCTCACTTCAGGTTGACTTACCAGGCATGGATTCTGGTCTCATTCTTTCTGCTGTATCAATATTTTCCCAGCTAGAGGTTTGATATATTTTGAGCTCAGCGGGCTTAGCGTGGATGTTTGGATGAGAAGCAGAATGCAGAAGTGGGTGGTGTATGTGAGGCTTAATTTCTGTCTTGAGGGTTCCTCTAATGGGGGCATTGTCCCAACAGTGAAGGAAGGACCGACTCTTTCTGTCAGGCAAGTGGGGAACATTACCTACCCGCCCTCCCCCCCACCATGGCTTTGACATAACCTCCTGGGAGTCTCTTGAGTATCCCTCCTTCAGAAATGGGGATAAATGTGACTGTTGGAAATGGACAAGTAAATGCCCTGACTCACAGGCTATTTCCACCCTCTACTGTGAAAAACACCACTGAGTCAGGATGTCAGAAGGAACTTTTAGTAAGAAAAACCTGATGTCCTTCTAGAGGCTGGTTTTAATGAGATGGGGAAGACACAACACTGCTCGCCTTTGGAACAGAAATCATTATAGCTTGCCAGTGTGGGATAGTAAATCAAGAGGACAGGAACATACCAATCTTATTTTAAATTAGTTTTATGGCATCATTTGTATTTATATTTATAATGCTTTTATTAGCACTACATGCTCTTTAAGGAAATTTGGGAAACTACAGAAAAAGTAATGAAGAAGAGAAAAGTAATAGGTATTTCTAGGACCCAAAGACAAACATTGCTAGTATTTTGGTGTATTTCCTTCTCATCTTTTTGTTTCTCTAATGTGGTTGTAAATAGATGTCTTCTAGAAATGACAGTTTATAGAGATCACAGTTATTTAGCTTGAATGGATTACAGATGCTGGTTGTGTATTTTTCATGAGGAGTGGGTTTTGGAATACACTCAAGTTAGCTACATGTTTATGCTAATCACTGGATTCTGACCTACTACTGAGTCTTAGTTTTTAATTGAGCTGTATGTGAATGAACTCTAACAAATCAGGAACTGAATTCTACTTTTTGACTTGCTTCTGCACTTGGGAGTGCAGCAATCAATCCCAAGCAATCATGGGAGATAGCTATTAAATTTGTGTCTCTATCGGTTTTGATGTTTTCAGATTAAAAAAAAAGAAGAGGAGTTTGTTCCATTAATTCATGTGCAATCATCACTCTTCCCTCCCTTTCTCCCCACCTCCATCTTCCCAAAAGGCAAAGAAGTAGAGATTTGACATGTTGGAGTTAGATGATGGTGGTTACCTGGTTATGAGATTTTTTACCTGGTTAGAATATCCCAGTCACCATACCCAGCGGGAACTGGATTTAAGATATTGAAAAACATTAATGCTATCAAGCGATTATTTATGTCAGTGATTCCGGTTTTATAGTGTTTTCTTGATTATTGATTTTTAGAAGGAATTATTATAATGCAAGCTCTCCAGTAAACACATTGCATGTTTGGGGGAGGGGATACTGGATTCTTTGGGATGGATTACATTTTGGGGCAACTCTGAGCCAGTCCCTCTGAAGACTGCCTAAAACACAAATTATCAAAAGTCAAAGATGTTTTCTTGGGGGACAAAACTTGAGTTTGTCCAATACAGGCTTTGTGAATATACTGCCACCTGTTCTGTTTATTGGATTTCTCAGGTATATAAAAGCGTCTCTCTCCAATTCTCCATGCTTCCTCTGGCGGAGCTGCAGGACTGAGATCTGAGCCTTTCCTGGCTCTTGTTCCCTCAGGGCTGACATGGAACCATCTCTGGGGACAGGTGAGGGCAGGGGCTTGCCCAACCAAGGCCCCTTCCCCCCAAATGAACTCAGAACCTTTCCTAGCCAGCTCTTCGCTGGGCGCTGACATTCCAGCTGGCCAAGGAGAAGACTCTGGCCAGCGAGGACTTTGTAGATGTCATTTTCCTACAGACTTTAAAAAAATGGCCTCTACTCCAAGGGACTATTTGAATTCTATCTTCCTTTATATGTTAAACCAGATTTAAGGCTATTTTATAACCACAATATGTAATCAGAGAAAACATAGTATTTCCAGATATATGCTGTGTTTTATGCCTTCTACATTATATAGGGGTTTCATATAAGGGTGATTGTAGTAGCATTTAATTTCCGTTGTTTTGGGAGTGATTTAAGACATTTTGAAATGGAGCTTTTGCACTTTATACTCTTTGTGAACTGACTGTGTTTGATATTAAAGCCATAAGTGGCATTTTCTGTAAATGACTGTTTATGTCTGGATTTATTTCTGAAACGAAATATCTGGAGTGAAAAATGCCTTTCACAGACTCAAGAGTGAAGCACATTGGCCTAAATTTATTTATTAATGAATTTGTAGATCACTGTTAATGAATATACTTAAAATTAGTATAGTTTATTTTCTGTTTTTTTCTCACCTGTAAAATCAATACACCTAAATATTTCCAGGATAAAGGGCCTAAAGGCAGTTTATTTTTATTAGAATGCCTGTCATCATGCCTTATGGATATAAGATTTCAAATATAGATTTCCCTATACTGGATTTCACTCAGTCACAGGATGGGAGATCAGATAGCATTTTGAAATAGTAAAGAACTTTAGTAGGAAGGAGCTGTGTCTATTGATTTGTCTTAGTTTGACTAAAGGACTAATAGATCATCATATATAAAAGAATATGATCAGCAGAGAAGCAAGACCGGGCAAGCATTATCTCTGCAATACAGTGTGTTTTAGAGATTCCTGAGGGGGTTGGGAGGTGTGGGCGGAGAAGGCCACAGCTCTGACGATCCCATGTAAGTAGTGGGTTGTCTCCTGGGCAAATGCCCCACCCGTATACTTCTCTGGATATTTAAATGTCCTGGAAGCCACCCTGGTAGAGTTCCTGCATGACAGGATGCTGGCAGGATTTGATTCTTCCTGGTGCTGAAAATGGTTATCTCAACAGCTCTGCTTTCTCCATTGCCTTCAAAGACAGTGTGGGGCCCTCCCTGGTGATGCAAAAATGTGTTAAAGCACAACACTGTGAAGCAGTCCACAGCCAATGCAGCAGGAGTTCCATCCTGGGCCAAGGAGGTGACCCACAAGGCACAGCAGACTTCTCCTGTCTCACCTGCTGCTCTCCTCAGCAGTGTATTTCAGTAGGTCAGTTCTGCTCCCCACTCTGTCTCTGGTGAATCCTCTCACCCCCTGCACCCCTGGCCTGTACTACAGTCCTTGTTTGTATAAATAAATCTTGTTTTTTTTTTTTAAAGACCAGCGTGGAGTCCTCTTCTCTTGTAAGGATTTTACTTTATGAGAGGCCAGAGCAGGCAGGTTCAAGTGCTGGGCAGGGCCCTGTAGGTAGTGTGCATCCTGCAGGGAGCCAGCTCTTCCTCAGTCTCTGTCCTGCCTTGGGCCTCAGACACATCTTACCTCAGAGCCTGGGTGCAGCTGCCACACTATGCTACCTTCGTATTGCTGAAATTTTACATAGTAAAGATACTGTAAAATAGGGTGTTTCAGCGTTTGGCTTTTTTCTTCCCTTGTTCTCCTTCCTACTCCATCTACAGGGCTGGGAGCCCCTCCCTTAGGTTAAAGCTATCTTTGCCTGAGGCAAGCGGTCACATCCAGTTTACCTGGGAAGTCATCTCTCTGGGCATTAACCGCGAAAAGGGAACATCCGTTTTAACGGGGTTTTGTTGGTTTATTTTTCATTTCCCACGAAAACAAGACATTTGCTTTCAGTTACGTTCATAATTGAGAGCAGAGAACTTACCATTTAAAAAACGTCACAGAAAACACTTGTCAACAGAGTTAAGATAAAGGGAAAATGGCTGAAGGCAAGATCGAGAGTATTAAGAGAGAAAAAGCATAGTGGCGACGGTGACTTTTGCGAGAGAGGGACGTTAGCCAGTGAACAAAGAGTCGAAGCCGCTGGGTGGGCGGAACCTGGAGAGATTCGTGGGGTAACATCGCCACCGTGTGGCCTTATACGGTATTGCTACCAATGGCACACAGACGCTCTTGGCAATTGCTCATCATCCTGGACACGCCCCAATTGCCCGCAGACTCCCAGAAAGTATGCAAACCTCGTCTGGGTCCACGTATGTTTCCCTGGATTCTTCCAACATCCTTTTGCATGGGGACCCACCCTCATAAACTCCTCTGACCATTACATTGGGTGCTAGGGATCAAACATAGGAACATATGACTTACTGAGGCTCAGAGGTGGGGTCACTTATGGATCCGTACTTGTTTCCTGATGGAGGCAGGATATATCAGACTTCACCGCTTCTACCTGGTGTCTGCTGAATTCTTGGATGTGCACTCTTTCAGATTTGGCGGGAGTTTTTTGTGGCTGTGGTAACACATTACTGTAAGTGAGGTGCTCTTCCAGCTCCTGATTGAACCTCTAAGCCTTTCCCCTCCCCTGCTGGGCGCCTCAGATCTATTGTCAGCTTGCAAGTTTTGTCTTTTTCCTGATCCTTGACCACTCAACCATCAAAAAAGATGAAATCATGCCATTGTGGGAGCATGGATGAAGCTGGAAGGGATTATGCTAAGGGAAACACGTCAGAAGGAAAAAGGTTAATACTGGATCATTTCACTTACATATGTAGAGTATAGAGAAATTGAAGAAAGGGTCAGGAAATGAGGTCGTTTGAAATAGAAACACATACCCTGGCAGTTAGGAGGCAAGGAGCCTGGAATCAAGGCATGAGCTCTTTTGGAAGCTGTGAGGGGGTAACTGCCCCTACTTTCCTAGCTTCTGCCTTGTGTGTATCATCCCATTTCTGCATCCAAAGGCTCTTGACTCCCCATGTCTCTGCATGTTTGTGTCTGAATCTCCTCACTCCTCTAAGATCACAGTAGTCTTTGGATTTAAGGCCTGCCTAGTCTAGTAAGAACTTGTTTAATTTATATAGGGTCTCAAAGACCCTATTTTGAAATGACCAATTCTGAGATTTTAGGTGGATGTGAATTTTAGGGCAACACTATTCAGTCTGATATACTGATCCCCACAACCTGCTCTGTGGACCTCCTCCCACCAGCACCTAGTGTCAGCAGTTAGGCTCCTCACTGCACACACACACGCACACACACGCACACACACACACACACACACACACTGTGCCATGGTCCTGCTCAGAGTCCCTGTGATAGCTTTGCTGTTCCCCCCTGTGAGCTAGAAGTATGTGCCACCCTATAAGCAGCTGTGGAAAATGCCTGTGAGACATGCCTGGGGCTGGCGTTAGGGGAGGTTTGTGGACCAGGTCTTAGGGAGCTTGTTGGCAGGCTCATTTGGCAGAAATTTCCTTCTGTCCAGGATATTAGGGTGTCTGGCTGGGCAAGGGCAGTCAGTCACCCCCAACTCTCCCTCAGGTGTATCAAGTACATGTGGCTTCCTCCTGATTCAAAGGTGTCAGACCAGCCAGCCAGTCTCTTGACCTGGATGTGAGGCGTGAGGGCATGGCCAGGATGGGAGATGGGGCACTGGGCCCAGGGGACCTGGGTCACAGTGTTCCTGGTTAGGGTGAAGAGCCGGGGACTCCCAAACCTGCCTGCCTTAAGTGGGTTCCGTCATACACCACATAAAGACAAAAAATCCTCTAGTGTGTAAGGCCTTTAATGGGAAAGAACTGTAGTACAATGAGTGTGCAAGAGAGAAGAGAAGCAAAATAATTTAGTGTCCAAATCACGCACCCATAGTTACCCATCCTCTTGTGGGTTAATGTCAGGCTAACAGGGTTGGCCCAAAGTGGGGGCACTGAGGCCCAAAAGCATACCACAGTCTAAGGCACCTTCTGGTGGGAGCAACAGAAAGGGGCGGCAGGGGCCAGGCAAGTCTGGAAGGAAGAGAGGAGAACCAGATCTAAGTCACGGTAAAGGTAACCACTGTCAGCTGACACAAGCTATGCAACGTCCATCGTCTGACAGATTCCGGGTGGATCGGGATAAGCTCTGAAAAATCAGACTGACCACTGCTAACTTATCTTATGACCTCCCTTTTTTGTATAAACATAATATCAAAATATTCTGAGCAACATTCAGTTTACAACTGGATTGACTTAGCTGCAAAAGGCAACTGCTGGTTCAGGCAAGCTGCCCCAGGGTGAGAAATTTCTATGTCTCCTGAGACAAAAGCCAAGCCCCAGGAGAAATAAGACCCCAGGACATAAAAAACTCCTGGGAAGCTTCCTTGGTTTCTTTGAATAGAAAATAAACTTCAGATAAGGCTCCCAGGGCATAAGGACTCATATGGACAAATTTTAACCTTGACTACACAGGTGTTGTTTGATACACAACTGTACAACTTTCTCTTAATTTACTCCTATTTAAAACAAGCACTAACTACTCTCTGCTAGCCTTAAATTAGCCATTAGCTTTTCTTTAGACAATCACTGATAACACTGCTAACACAATTTATTACTATCCCAAGACCACTAACAACCTTTTGCTAACAAGCTCACCCTTTCCCAGACCCCTGTTCCTTTGAGTGATAACTAGACAGCTGTATATATGATAACTATCACAAAAACGTATAATTTAGCATACCATAAATTGTTAAGAGAAGAATACTTTTTCCCTTTGTCCTTGAGAATGTTTTATGGAGATATCTCGTTAACTTACCTATACATTATTGCAATTAACTACTTGCTACACAGTATAAATAAAGACCTGCTGAAGGGATAGCAGGAAGACTTGCACTCTATCCTGACTCCCGTGTCTTCTTCGTGTCCGCTCCCCTCTCTCCTTTTTGGAATCTCCACTCTCCACAGATGCCTTCCCATCTTAGGGTCCTGCCTGTGCTGCCTCGAGACACCCCAAAAGTTGGAGCTGGTCTCCAACTGTCAGCTTCCCACAGGTCTCTCACCCACTCTGTCAAGTGGGTCTCCTTCCATGTCCCCCAAGTCCCAGGTACAAGTCCAAGGCTAAGAAGCAGGAGCAGCTTCTAACTTGTCTCTCTGCTCCAAGTGCCTCCTCTAGGTGCCACAGTTTCTCCTTCCTGCCCACCCCTTTCCACCCCCCTTAGGCTGGGGTAGGAACCGGACGCCTCTTTCCTTGGCGCTTACCCTGTCACTGAAGTTTCAGCAGTTCCTTCTCAGCCTCCATTTTATTTCTTCAATGGAGAGAGCCTGGGTTAGCTCAGTCATCAAACTTTTTATTTTATTGGAGGAGAAATTATGCCCATGGAAGCCAATCTATAAAAATAGATGCAAGTGGAACTTCTGACTCATCCAATCACTTTGGTTCTAGCC